ATCCTTTATGGCCTGTGGTCTGTTAAAAATAAGTAAATAAATAAATAAACATTGTAATAGCCTAACATTTTCACTCAAGCAAAGCATTTCATTACCAACAGATTGAGTATCAAGTGAGGCCACAAACAAGAAATATTGATTCACATCTCTTACAATCCACCAAAAATCATGACAAGAAAAGGCACTCCTCTGATTACCAGGACCAGCTTCCTCTCCCTTTTGGTTCTTTCTCAAACCCCTCTTCTTCCGTCCATCAAGAGAGTTAAATGAGTCATCCACAAATAGTACAGTAAGCCTTCTAAAGGCTCCCAAGCCCACAGCTACTTCATTGCCATGGAACTCATCAAATGTTCCTCCTTTCACATGAGAGAAGAGAAAGGAAGCCAATGGGGCCACCATTAATTGGGAGGCAATGGGGCAGGAAGCACTGAAGCAGGATAAAATCTCCCTGCCATTCATCAGGTTAGTTCTGTGGCCGTAGGAATGTCCTTAAAACTGCCTGTGCCTCAGCTTCCACACCAATAGTGATTGTGTCTCCCTTCCAGGGTGACAGTGTAGAAGACATAGCCCATTTTCTGCTCCATGAAAGAAAGATATGCCTCTCTGCTTCGGTAACAATTTATAGCCTTGACATTTTATTTGACAATTCTACTCTACCTTGTAGGGAGGCTATGAGTCTGAATGAACTGGATGGTAATGAGTTTAGAATGACTCACTACTTTCTAAATTTATTATCTTGCTTGTTGTTGTCCTGGGGTAACTTCTAGTTGATTCTGACTCATAACACTGAGCGAGCTTAGGTTGTATAATCCATAGAGGCCTATGTTGCTAACAACTCCAAAGAAGAAAAGTGAGACTCTCCTTTTGTGTGAAAATCCACTGGAAAGAGCTATGGGTAGGAATCAACTCAACAGCAATGAGAGGAGGAGGTAGCAACACTAGATATAAGAGCAAAACAATCCTGGGTCCATCTTCTCAGTGACTGCCATGCTTGCGTCCACTACTTTAACCACTGCATTAATCATATCATAACAGTTTTCTCTACTTTTCCAAGCTGATGTCTTTCTCCAGGGACTGGATCCTCCTGATTCCATGCTCAAATTATGTGAGATGAAGTCTTGTCATCTCCTCTTCTAATGAGCATTCTGTCTGCACTTTTTCCAAGACAGATTTGTTTGTTCTTTTGACAGTCCAAGATATATTCACCATTCCTCACCAATGCCATAATTCAAAGGAGTAAATTTTTCTTCAATATTCCTTACTCACTGTTTAAATCCAAATACATTAAAAGACAATTGAAACCGCCGTGGCTTGGAGTCAAGCCCACTTAAGTGAAGAATACTGAATATCTCATGGATTGCCAAAAGAACAAACAAATCTATCTTGGAAGCGGTGTAGACAGAAAGCTCCTTAGAAAGAAGGATGGCAAGATTTCACCTCACATGATTTGGGATCAAAAGAATCCAGTCACTGAAGAAGGGCATTACGCTTGGCAGAGTAGAGAGAAAGACCCTTAATGTCACAGTGCCTACAACAACGGACTCAAGGACAATTGTGAGGGTGAGGATCCGCCAATGTGTCACTGTGATCTGTAACTTACTTGACAACAAATGACCTAACAACTACAAATTCCCACCTAACATCTAGAGTTGGGAAGGAATGTTCAGGAGATAACTCTGGATTTCTGAGGTTGATTTTATGAAGGGCACTAACACTAGCCTTCACTACATGCCACCAAAAGAACACCAACAGAAATTTGAGTCCCTGGCCCCTCCCATGATGTAACTCTGTAACTCCTAAGCTGGGTACTGCAAGGATCTGGGCCAGGTTCACTCCACACTCCACAGAGGCTCCCTGGACCTTTCTTCCTCCCCTCCCCTCCCCTAGTCCCAAGGGTCATCACTGTAAAGATATCCCTCTTCTAGGAGACTGGGCTTTGGAATGAGTTATTTCTGAAATTAAATCACAATAAACACACACTTCCCATGCCAACTGTGTCACTCTTTCTGGTTCCTCTTCTGAAACTGGAAATATAAAGACACCTACCTTTCAAAATTGCAATGAAGCTCAAATATAGCAGTGTGTTGAAAACAAAATAGTACTTAATTGGAGGAGAGTACTGAATATCCCATGGGCTGCCAAACAAACAAACAAACTTGTCTTAGAGAAAGGTCAGCCAGAGTGTTCCTTAGATGTAAGGGTGGCAAAGCTTTATCTCACATTCTTTGGGAATGCTATTAAGAGAGGTTATTCCAAGGGAGCTCTGGTGGCCTAGTGGCAAGACGCTGCACTGAAATCCCAGAGGTACACAGTTCAAATCCACCAGATGCTCTGCTGGAGAAGGAGGGGGCAATCTCCTCCTGTACCAGTCAGATCTGATTTGACGGTACACATAAAAATAATACAATAAAGAGAGAGAGAAGTTATTCCTTGGAAAGAGGCATCATGCTTGGAAAAGTGGAGGGTCAATGAAAGAGAGGAAGACTCTCAACAAGATAGACTGACACAGTGACTGCAACAGTGGGCTCAAGTAGATCAGAGATGATGAGGATGGTACAGGATAGGACAGGGTTCCGATCTGCTGTTCACATGGGGTCACTATGATTCATAAATTGATTTGATGGCGCCTAACAAAAATAGCAACAGCACATACCAAACATCTGTTAATGGTACCTACTACTGTCCATCTCTACAGGGAGCTCTGGTGGTGGAATCCATTAGGTGTTGCACTGTTAACTTAAAGGTGGTGTTTTTCTAGAAAGGCACCACCTTCAACCAAGTGTCTGACTCCACCAGCGAATCCAAGAGAAAAAGATGGGCAATCTCGTCCCATGTGATTTCTAGCCTCAGAAAACCCACTGGAGGGTCAGCTATGTGTCGTTCCCGACTCAATGGCAATGAGACTGTTACTGTGATGCAGTTTGGGGAAAATCGGCTTTATCCTAAATGACAATGATGATGCTCCAGGAGAAGGAGAAGGGACCTTTGAGCACTGGCTGATATCTTCCATAAAATCCAGGCTTGATTATCTGAACTTGATCCCTTTTCTTGACTAGAAAATTCCTTGAGGATAACAAAGGACATTAACTTCACACCCCTTACAGAAAAAGAAAATAATATTAATCAAGGCCCAGGCCAAAACCTTCCAATCAGTGCCTGTGATCCACAAATATGGCCTCACGGTACCTTTAATATAGAGTATTTGAGAGAACAAATACAAGTTTTTGCTTCTCAGGAGTCCATAGCGCACTTGGGGGAACAGACAAGGGACTTCTAACCTCAGCTTTTATTGTTGTTAGGTGCCATTGAGTCAACTGGACAATCCATCTGAACCTTCCCCTATACTGCTCCCTTCTCACAATCTCCAATATGCTCAAGCCCATTGCTACAGCAACCATGTCAATCCATCCTATTGAGGGCCTCCCTTCCTTTCCCTGACTACCCACCTTTCCCAGCACGATGTCTTCCTCCCAACCCCTCAATGGCTGAGCCCTCCTAATAACATGAAGCCCTCCCAATAACATGCCTAAAGTATGTGAGATAAAGCTTTACCATCCTTACCTCTAAGAGGCACTCTGGTTGCACTTCCTCCAAGACAGACTCGTTCTATTGGTAGTCCATAGGATACTCAGTACTCTTCTCCAACACCACAATTCAAAAGCATTGATTCTTCCTCTGTCATCCTTATTCACTGTCCAACTTTCAGATGCATAGGGAACAAGTGAAAATCCACAGCTTGGATCAGGACCCCCTTAGTCTTTAAACATCTTTGCTTTTCAGCACTTTGGAGAGGTCCTTCACAGCAGATTATCCTAATGCAACATGTCTTTGGCTGCTACCATGCTACTCATCTGTATGCTGAGATAAACTCAGCAAAGAGAAATAAGAACTAAACAGAGGTAGCTGCTTGCAGAATCCAAGGATGGACCATCCCTGGGAATATTAAGGAAGGTTCTGTGGAGAAGGAGATAGTATTTGAACTGGACTTTTAAAAATAACTAAAATATGGGGATGGAAATCCAGATTAAAGGTATAAAATGAACCATGACCTAGAGGAGAAAAAAACGCAGAGTTTATTTAGGGAGCAAATAAGTCTAATGAGGCCTAAAGACTAGGATGGATGCAAGAGGACTGAGGGGGAAGCTGGCAGTGAAAGACCAATGATCTTATGGTGCAGGGGGAAACAAAATAAAGGTCATTAGTACCATAAGGGAAATGAGAAGAGCAGGTCTGGAATTTTAAACAGAAGGCCTCTGGGAGGTGACATACTGAAGCAGTAAGCAAGTAAGCCATATGACTGTTTGGATGGAGGAGTTTCCGGATAGCAGTGCAAAGGACCCAGGGCCATGGTGGGGTGATGCTGTGGGAGGCTGGCGTGAGTGTTTGGAGATGAGGTCAGAACTGTAAAGGGGACCTAGCCCATGAAGGACCTTGCTGGAAATCTTCGGGGCTTTGGTTTTCACATGGATGAAAATGGAGAGCCATTGTAGGACTTCAGCAATGGAGCAACGTGATCTGACTAGTTTTAAAAGGATTGCTGTAGCTGCTGTGTAGAAAATCAACTGCAGGGGGCCAAGGCTGGAACCAGGAAGACCAGTGAAGAGACTATGGCAGAAATCCAGGCGAGTGAATGATGGAAGTAGCGTGGTGGTGTCCTTGTCTCTAGTGCTTGAGAATGGAATTTAGGATTTCCGCTTGGGTGCAGCCCACCTCCTCTAAGAGCCCCTTTTCCCCTTCGGAATAGAATATCAGGGATTTCGGGTCAGTGGATTCCAGCCCAGGGTATGTGGGATCGTGGGATGTGTGAGGAGCTTCTTGCTCATTCAGAACCCTGGTGTCCCAAGAGGAAACCGAGATAGGTGTGCGCTCCACGACCCACGTCAGGAGGTCTAAATCCTGAAGAGGAAGGGCTCCTCAGAGATGAAGAGCAGAGGAGTGGAAAGACCGGCAGTTCCTCTCACACTGGTTGCCCTGGGCATCGGGCACTGTGTGTGTCCAGTATGCGACAACTCCTTGTGTGCAGGTGTGGGCATTCTACCCCTTTCACGCGCCACTCTGCTGCTCTATCCCCTTTGTCTAGCTTGCCCCATTCCCATCTGTCTGTCCGTCTTTCCCGAGTTCAGTCCGCAAGGCCCAGCCGGGGTCCCTCTGGCGGTCGCCGTGGAGGCGCAGCCCCCGCCCCGGCTCCAAGGAAGAGAAAATCATGAATGAAATGGATGCGGTGCTCCAGTTCCCCCACCCTCCCTGTCCAGGCAGGCTGAGTGCGGGGGCGGCGCCTGCGAGAGGCTCCGCGCTCGGAGTTGGTGGGGTATTGAAATTGGGTGTAGGGGTCCAGAGTCTGCGATTGGGACCCACTCGGACCCGTGCTGCGGCCGAGGCTCCCCAGCCGGCCAGCCTGCTGGTCCTGCGCCATTCCCTGGAGCGGAGCGCCCGAAGGCGGGGCGGAGCCGGGGGCGGGGGCGGGGGTCGGCAGGCGGCTGCGCCAGCAACTGGCCGCAGAAGCGCATTTGGTGGAGCGGTGGGTCGGCGAGGGAGCGCTCACAGAGTGTGGGACAGTGAGCCTGGCGGACAGACCCACCGACAGTCGCCCCCGCACACGCAGACGCACGAGCTTCGCGCAGCCCCCGTCACACACACAGACACTCGCGCAGACACACACAGGGACACACGCAGACACACGCACACGCGGGCGCGCACAGCCTCCCTCCTGCCTGTCCCCAGCTCAACGGCGCCCGGAGCCCGCTCTGGCCGGTAAGTGCGGCGCCTCTGTCGGTGCCTTTGTGTGGGGACCCAGGCAGCCGAGGGCGTAGGGTCCCCAACGAGGCTGCTTCGCAACTGAGGGTTCCTCTAGCCCCAGAGCGGAGGCGCTCGCGCCCGCCCCCGCCACGCCCCCACGGGGCTCCCGGCGCCCCCGGGCTGGGGGAAGGGGGTTCCCTATAGGGGAGGGAGCCGGGGGCTGGGGGACTGGGAGAGAGCGGCTGTCACTGTTTACCACGCCGGTACACGGTTCTGGAGAGAGATTGAGGTGGTGGTCAGGGGTCCGAGCGGCCGGGACTGGTGCAAAGCTTTAGCTGCATCGCTTTTTCAAGGTCTGGACCTCCTGGGAGGGATATTGGAGATCCACCGCTAGGCTGCTGTTCTGTAAACCGTAATCCCCCGCCTTGCTGGCTACTCTGGACCCTGTAGTTTTAGCCAATGACTTCCCACCCATCCCTAAAATAAAACCCCTGCGCGTTCCCCTCCCCCAGTAAGCCGCGTTTTCAAATTCAAGGCCAAGCTTCTGCAAAAGCTCATAGGTTGCAGGGGTCATAGTCCTAGAGTCACGGTGAGATTTACCTTACCAAAGAGTATGGTGGCCCGAGGGTCAGAGCCAGAAGAACCGTGGGAACTCATTTACCAACCTCGTTTTACAAATGGGGAAACTGAGTCTCAGGAACATGGCTTCCTTCACCAAGACCACCAGAGAGTTGGTGGCAGAGCTTGCATTACAACCGAGAGTCCCTCTGGTTTTCAAGCCTTTCCCCCAGTGTAACACACAGTTTGAGCCAACCCCTACTGAAACCCTAGAACCCAAAAATCACTTTAGTATGACAGATAAGCTTTGTAATTCCAATCCTACCCCCAAATTGGAGCTGCAGATGCCATTCATGTGTTACCATCCTTAGGATTTAAAAAAAAAATTAAATCTGCTTTTAATTTGCCTTATTCAGCTTCAAAGGAGAGCTCTCTTATGCAAGCACTTTAGGTTTAGGGGACTGAAACAGTCTTGGACAGAAATCATATTCCAGAGTTTTGTTCCTGGTTTTCCCTCAGTGATTTCAGATGAATCATCTCTGTCCCCTCCTTTGACCTAACTTTATCCCTTCCCAGCCACACTCTTCCTCCTCAAGGGCCTTCTGATCCAATCAGCCCTCTTTTACCCCTCAGGCCTCTTGCATTATTCCTTTATGGAGACCGCCAAGCCATTTCTTCCATCTGGTATTGCTGACAAAACTTCATGAAGCTTGAATTACAGCCACACAGGTTACAGCCTGATAGTGCCTCAGGACAAGGTCCCTCAAGGGCAACTGGGTGTCCCCAGAGCTGAGCCCAGTGTCTGACAAGAAGAGGATGCCCCAGAGGTCTGTTGAAGGAGTGCATTTGTATCTAGATAGCAGATGAACGTCACCTTTGAGAAGACTCTTTTGCTTAGTATAGTTGGCCTGAGGTTCTTGCCTCAAGAGTTTGCTGGAGTGAGGTGAGCAGCCTACCTGGGGGGGGGGAGGGGGTTGCAAATAGCATAATCCAGAAACCACGACTTCTATCTGTAGTCCATGGCAATGACATTGGGCTTCACGAGATGCCACTTACACAGGCCATAATGAGTCTAGGGGTTTTGTTTGGGTTTTTTAAATTTTTTTTATTTTATTATTATTTTGTGCGTGTGTACCATCAAATCAGATCTGATTGGTACAGGAGGATATTGCCCCTCCTTCTCCAGCAGAACATCTGGTGGATTTGAACTGCATACCTAGGATTGCAGTGTAGTTTCTTAAGAGTCTAGGTTTTTGCAGTATGCAAGTTTCCACCCGAAGAGTGAGGAGATGTGGGTTCCAGGCTTCATTTCCTCCTCACTGGTGCAGTCTCAAATGAATAATCTCAGTGAATATAACTTTTCCGAGGCACAGTTTCTCCATTTGAAAAATAAGAGCATTAGGAGAGGGGACATGCAGAACAGAATTTCATGTTCTCGTGCAATCTAGATTTTTCAGGACCCGTGGAGGCTGGGTAAGTCCCTGAAACTATTGCCCTGAGAGAATTTTTAAATCTTAAACTTTAAACCAGAAACATTCCCTAAGTCTTCTTAAAACCAAACAATGATTTAGCCTACCTGATGAAGCATGTCTACTTTGAGCATTGTACTTTCTAAAGGTCTATCAATAGGGATCAAACTGACAGCAATAACTGGAGAGATCAGATAGGAACCTTAGAGGGCAGTTAGGTTTATGTTAATGAGAGAAGAACAGCTCAGAAGAGAAGGACAAAAGCAGGCGTAGAACTGGAATATAATCAGTGTCACTGTACATGGAGGAATTATGCCTATTTTACAACAAAACTTTCTAAAATAATGACATAAAGTAAAAAAATAATAAGAGCAGTGGATTCAGAGATTTTCATAATCCCTTTCAACTCTGAACTCTTGTAGGGAGAGAAGAGTGTACTTATTTCTGTAACTTCTGCGGGTCTGACTTCCCTCTTCTGTTACTCTGGAAGGAAATAATGACTGACTCAAAGAATTGGGAAGATGAGATGAGATAATGTATGTCAGATTACTTTGCACAGTGCCTGGGGCACAAAAAAAGCTCAGAAATGTGTAGCTATTAATATCATTAGGGCCCAAGCTTTATGGACCCACCTTCCATTTTTTCCTTTCTTTTTTTGGCTTATTCAAGGGCATGGTATTTTTGGATCACCAAGTCTCCCTCCCTCAAGAAATCCCTCTCCACAATGGCATGCCTGAATTTAGGGCCCAGCCAGTAAAAGACACACATGACGTTTCCTTAGAAGAGTAGCACTTTGTCATATCAACTGTTGATATGCTGTCAAATTGGAACCGACCCATAGCTGATCCTTCAACAGGTATTCAGAGACAGTGAATCACCCAGGAGAAAGATTTTTCCATCCTTCTCTTACAGAGCACCTGACCCTCCAGCTAATTTTCAGAGACAGTAAATCACATGAGAGGAGAATGTCCATCCTTCTCTCTCAGCGGTAAATTTGAACTGTGTGCCTTGGGATTGCAGCTTAGCTTCTTAACCACCAGCACTCCCCTAGTTTATACCTTAGTGTGGTCTAATTTTAAAGTCAATCTTTGTATATTGTCAAAGCTTTTGTTATAGCCTATTATACTATTCTCATAACACTTTACTACATTGTCATACCCATTTTACAGATGTTAAGACTCAGTGTAGTGAGTCTGAAGGGAATTACACCACTAACCCAAAGGCTATGCCCCTTTGACAGTTCAAATCTACCAGCAGCTCCTCAAGGGGAAAGATGGACAGTCTTCTCTTAAATGATGCAGCCTTGAAAACACAATAGAGGGTCACCTGTGAATTGGGTCCAACTCAACAGCAGTGAGGGGGTTTTGAGTTGAGACACACCTTGCAAATATCAGAGCAAAAAGCTGGACTACCAACTCAGATCATCTGACTTCAGATTCCAGACTCTTTTTCTGCAACATAATGCCTGTTTTTCTAGAGATGAACCCTAAAGTATAGACAGATAACCCTTGCAAAGAGTTAAGGAGGGATTTTATCCTTCTGGAAGCTGAGAATGGTGTTGGAAATGCGAGGTAGCACACTAGGTGGGCCTGTGTGATTTATACATTAGAGAATAAAGGTAACAAGATATTTAGGTGGTAGAAGCCGCATGAGCAGAGGACAGGCAGGATAGGGCATACATAGAAGCTGGCAGGTGGCTTATTCTGCTGGTATAGAAAGGATAAAAGGAGCTAGGAGAAGGGAAGCTGGATAGGAAGGTAGACGCAGTTGCTGGGGCAATGAGTGGTAAGCTGAAGAATTGGCCTTTAGCTCTGAGTGGAAGAAAGATATGGGCAAAGCTGGCAATTATTAAGCTCATTGTGGCTACCCCAGGGAGAGCAGATTGGAGGGGGAGAGCTTGCTGGCATGGAGCCCAGATAGGAAATGACAATGGTCTAGGTAAGAGATAAGGAGGGTGTGGACTGGGGGTGGTTATAAGAATGGAAGGGGGAAAGGTGCAAGAGGCCATCACCGTTGGCAAGGTTGGTAACTGCTTTGATGAGGGAGGGCTGAGATGTGATATGAGATGTGATAGCAGAGTTTTGAGCATGAGGATGATGTTCACAAATGAGCCCACCAGTAGGAGAACAGGGGAAGAAGTTTAGGACCTGAGGAGAAATCACGATGCCTCTTGCAAGACTGATTTACTGAGCACTGTAAATGGTCAGGGGCCAGTTTACTCATTTGTTCATCCATTCCTTCATTCCCCAAATATGTATCAATAGAACCAGTTATTGCCAAGACTGTTTTGACCATGGCAAACCGTATGCTTTGCAGTCGAACTGCTTCCCATGGAGTTTTCATGGCTTAGCCTTTCAGGTGCACATTGCTGGTCTTTCTTCTAAGACTCTTCTGGCTGGGTTCAAACCACCAATGTTCTGGTTAGTAGCCCAGCCTTTAATCATCTATACCACCAAGGGGATCCATATATATGGTCAATATCTGCTATGTGTCAGATTTTTCCAGACTCTGGGAATGCATTGTTGGAACAGAAGACCTTTTACCTAAGCGCCACCATTCCCTCTCTCTTTGCCATCAGAACCAACTCACAGCTGAGCCTCCGGTGAGTCTTCTGAGACTAAATCACATGGGAGGACATTGTCTTTCTCCTGAGGAGCCACCAGTGGATTCAAACCACCAGAGAGGCATCGTCCCCTTTGGGTTGGTAGCACAGCTCCCTACAGATGACACCGCCAGAGCCCCCTGAGCTCTACCACAGGACACAGAAAATAAAATAGAAGCAATGATAATATTTCACAGGGTACACAAAGTTTTAGAGAGAAATAAGGTAGGATAAGTGTGAGTGGTGTGACAGAGGGAGATTTTCTTTTTAATAGAGTTGTCTCTGATGAGGTGATCATTGAACAAAGACCTTAATGAAGAGGCTTCTGTCTAAGAGGAGGAGACCACACGTGCAAAGACCCTGGGATAAGAATGTCATGATAGTTTCAGGGAACAGCAAGTGTGGCTGCAAGAGATAGGCAGAGGGGAAGCATGATAAGAGAGGAGAGAAGAGCTGAGCCAGAACATGTGGGTGCCATCGAGTCAGTTCTGACTCACCAACCCTATAGGACAGTAGAGCTTTAAAACATTTGGGAGAAAAATATGCAATGTCTTTTTCCACAGAGTATATGGTGGGTTCAAGTCCCTGTCTTCATCTACAAGTAGAGCACTTTCCTGCACCTCTGGGGCTCCAT